AAAAACGGTCTTTTTGGGAGGAATTCTTGCGTTTCAGTATAACCAGATGCGTAACGAACCTGCACAAAAAGAGGCATATTCAGGCTGACGGCAGCGATGGCTCGACGTTTACCCTTGCGCGTGCACTCCTCCACAACCAGTGTCCATTCCTTATCGCTGTAATGATGTGACGAATTGTCCTCGCAGTACAATGTGGTATCGAAATGCAACGGATCCGGTGTCTGGATTGGCCACACAATCAAACCACGGCATGGATCCGTCATGCTGCCCTCCCATTTGCGAACACGACTTTCGATTCGTCGTCTCCTGCAAACCAGTTCAGATGTAAATTTGCTCTGGACAAAATAGTAAATTTTCAGCTTCTTAGTTTTTGTTGTGGTTCCCGAATTGAAAGTTGCTGACAAATTGCTGTGGATACACACATGCACACACACAAACACACACACAGACAATCCCGTGACAATATGCCTTTTGTACAGCACAAAACGCATAAAAGGGACAAGGAGAGCAGTCGTGATGAATAAGTAACAACAGCCAACAGGAAGAAGCGCCTGCGCTGGTTATCAGGGAATGAAAAAATGGACAAAGTCCAACGCGGACTGATATCTCCATGCGGGGGAAGTACCCGAAACACTGTATGCGAGATTGATGAACACAACTGTACGGCACACTTAGAACTAAGCGAAATTTCAGCTGCATCGATGACGAGGAGGAGGAGGAGGAACACAAGCTACGCTGAGTAGCGAGGTAAAGACGAGCACGTACTGCAGCAACACTTTTCCACGTACATCACTTTCTATGGCTACATCATTGCTCTGCCATAAATTTCGTGCTGCATTTTATGTAATTACCCTAAAATTTCAGCTTTCTAGCATCTCCAATTGCTGACTTGGAAGTGTCACACTGCTCCGAACACACAAACGAACAAACAAAGATACGCAATCTCTTGACAATATGCGTTTTTGCATATGACGGGAGCAAATGTACCAGCAGGTATGTTTGGACCTGAAATCGGTGCTCCTGAAAATCCCCATAGGACCAATTTCTGGAACATTTCCATCTAAAGATGACAGCCTTTGTGACGAAGTACAGGGAGAGCCGCCAGGAGGGGACAAGCAGAAGAGGGAATGCGATACATCTGGCATTTCTCATCGGATGCGCGAAGGAACAGAGACGCCAGACTGCTCGGCAGAATAACAGTAGTGTGCTGTAACTTAGGCTCCAGTGAAATCAGGGGAAGACTGCGCTGATGCCTTACTGAAATAGAAGGCCGAAGCAAAACTGGAGGGCGCAAGTGGGGCGGCCGAAGAGAGTGAAACTGTCAAGTGGAACTATGCTAAAACTATGCTAGGAATACAACAGCTCTACCTTGTACGAGTAATCTGATTATCGCATGATTACAGCATGAAAGTAATATGAAGAACGTAGAAAAGAAGACAAGAATAGAACGAACTATGTAGTGCAAGAGATGGGAATATTGTAGGCGCAGGAGAAATAAGAACGAGAGAGTTAAGACGTTTCGGTCCATGAAGTCATATACGTCTTAGCTCAACACCGCGACTGGACCTGATAAAAAGTATTCGCAAAAAATGCAATTAAAAAAATGACGTAATAAGTGAAAAGTAGGCAGTAAAGCCGAACCGATGCATGCAAGCCAACAGAACACTCTGTGGTTGCCATTTCGCCGAGCCAACGATCAGCAGTTCCTGTGGTGTTATTGTGAAACGATACTTGGCCGACTTCTTACCGGATTGTTGTATACGACGCCATACACTTGTCATCACCACTTCCTCGAATTACCAACTACCATACGCCACCTAAAAATCACAGGCGCAAAGACGAATTCTGAGAAATTCTTGGACTTTGTCCAGTTCGCGCTCGCCCGACGCAAAAACAACCTACTTCTCGCCTCCAGTGATCGATCAGTTTCAACAGGTGAGCATCGTCGGAGCTGGCAAATTAATTTCATTCATTGGCTTGTCACATAATGATTTATTGCTTTTTTTTGGCTAATGGGGATGCGCATGCAGGAGGAGGGATGTTATCAAACTCTATGATTAATGTAGCTGAAATGCTTGCCTAATTCTAAATATTAAATCAGAAGCCTGAGGCCTCTTTTAGCACCCCGCAAGATAAATCAAACCACATACAAAACGAGAAAATGCTGAAATCCCCAGCAAAGTTTATGCCAATTTTGACACCAATATAGGCCCGAAATTAAATAGAAAAAAATTGGCCAACGCACGGGCTGCCCGTGCGAAGATGCGTTTTTTGCAGAGTTCCCC